TCCTGGCCTCAAGCAATCCTCCTACATTGGCCTCCCAAAGTGCTGGGATTACAGGTGTGAGCCACTGTGCCCAGACAGCTCTGTTCTTTGACCTGTGTCTAATCAATCACTTGCATAAAAATATAAAAGACATGTTTTTTTAAATGCATTGAGGCTGGCTGGCAGAGACACTGATATGCAAGATGACAAAAAGTAGAATGTACAATTATTTCAGTTATGAAAAGAATGAGGCATAAACCTAGAAGAGGACCCCTTCTAAATCTAAATACTAATTAAAGACATATCTTCCTGTTGCATTCACTTAAATAGACATAATAACTACTTTTAGTCTTTTTACCATACATTTGATACTGACTTCAACCTATCAATGATTTAACATGTCACTTTTTCTTTACACCATATATTCTTATATTGATTTAAAAAATCAAAATGTAACTACATTTACCTAGTAAATAAATATAGAGAATAAGCCATACTGGACATGTCCCGTCCATATCGAACAATCTCATTCTCCTGGTCCTCCCACTTCTCAATTTCGCAGTTGGCATCAGAAGTGAGCAAACCCAGCTTAAGTCCAAGCTTTGCTATCTTGGCTTGCTCCTACAAAACATATATTTTAATCACAACTTTGTCACTATTGATGTAAAAGGAAGATTAGATGTAAGACAATGTCACCTGGCTTGTGTGTTGATTTAAAAAAAAGGTGTAAGAAAACAGACAAAGGAAAAAGTCTTACCTCAGAGTCAGGCTTGTCGGGCTTTAATGATTTCAGGTTTGCATTATTCTTCTGTGACAATAAAAAGATTAATAAAAAGCAATACATTTAACTGTGAGGAAATACAATACTAATAGAAAGCATTAACAAAGTACTTATAATAAAATCTCATTTAAAATATTTAGTAAGTAGTTAAACTATATTAAGTAATATAAATTAAATAAACAACCAGTTGTAAATACTCTACTAGTAGGTGAGTTCAGCTTTGAAAGGCCATCGGTTTCAAATTTGGGGCCAGGGAGTGTAGGCCAGTGTCCTGCCCTGGTCTGCAGTCTCTGTGTTTGCAGTTGCTTTTCTCTTTTTACAAGGACTTCAGGGGCTTCAAGACAACTTCTACAATATTCCTGGAATCCAATTATTATATCCCTTAAACCTCCCTGGCCTCTCTGTTGAGCAAGATTACTATAATGCTTGAATTATTCTTATGAAATGACGTATTAAAATTAGTCACTATATGTAGTTTTCTATGTGTTCCTAACATTATGACTCTTGAATTAAATCTCTTTAATTTGCTCTTAGAAGCCTAAATTTCAACACTCTAGTTTCACTGACATACTAACTGCTAATCCCATATCCTAGGTTATAAAGAGATTAGAGTTAGAATTTAGGGTTCAATATGTGAACCAATATTCAATGGCTCCCTATTTTTGGAAGAACAAGTTTGTTTTTATTTAAACTATGTGGAACTCAGAATGTATTTCCCCCAGAAGGGGAGAAAATATTCTATACTAGTTAGATTACCAAGTTAGTCCACAGGTGTCTGTTTACTTGAAGAATAGAGTACTAGGACAGACCATACCATGAACAACAGAAACATTTCTTTGAAAAATACATTCAAAAGTTCTCTGGAAATGATGGCCTATGTTGGAGACTCCTGAAACTCTGAGATCTGGAGAGAGTTCCCATAGTTGGGGCAGGAGTTCCAGAGTGGCTAGGGCTAGTAGAGAAAAAGGGGCCAGCAGATGCAAGCAGCCATCTTTTTTTAATGGAGACATATATTTAAATTATATAAACACACAAAGATACACTGGGTACGTATTCACACACACACACACACACACACACACACAAAGTATAAATTGTAATAAAATAAAACACTCATGTGTCTGCTTAGTTTAAGGGGAAAAAAATCACCAATACCTTAAAGAAAAAGATTATATACATTTGTTTGTTTCCCTTTTTATTGCTATGACTTGTGACTTCTGACCAGCTACTCTGTCACCAGTTTTACTGCAGAACAAAACAGCCTCACAGAGTTTAAATTGATCTGCTCATTGAACACAGCCCTTTTGAGATTTTTCTAATGATGATTACCTTAAAGAAACAGGTGAAGTTGAAGGACAGAAAATAAAAATAGAGAAAGTACAGTTACACACACACAGAGAAATACAAGCTGCCTCTTGTGCTCATTAGAGAATAAACAAAGATGATCAATGATCTCTCTGGCTCCTCCTTGTATAGGTGGCAACTGATAAAGCATTTAAGAAAGTTAAGAATACTC